AATAATTGATTATTATTCGCTGATTTAACAGTCTCCTTGACAGGCATGTTGAACTCCGTCTGACCTCGGCCAGCCGGCTGCGGCCATTGATCCCACGAAAGCAAGAGTTGTCAAACCGCCGACCCAAATTTCAGCATCGCATTATCTTCCTCTTTGCATTTTTCAGCGCCGTCGAAACGTCACGTGGCTTGCCCCCTTGCCCCCTTGCCCCCTTGCCCCCGTTCTTTCGGTCGAAACGCATGAATTCGAGCCGGGTGAATCTAACTAACGCGCATTATCAATAACTATTAATAGTCATCACCTGTGTGAATTCCAATCCCGATCAAATATGCATCACGTTGTGTTAAATACTGCTGTATAAAACAATACGTGTACATACAAACAGTAGTCAGCTGATCAACTTCAGGGATGCGCCGTTACGCGCGTGAAACGAGACGAAACGAAACAAGCGCGTCGCCTCGTCGAATTTCGGCGGAGCGCGCCACTCTCTCTCTCTCTCTCTCTCTCTCTCTCTTTCTCGCAGTATTATAATTTTATTTAACTTCAAGACGCACACACACACACACACACACACATAACCGAGAGATGGGCGCACACAACACGACGAGAGTCCGACGTCTGATCGCGAGGACGGGAGCAAGAGAGAGGAAAGAGAAAAGAGATGGGGGAGGGGAGAAAGAGAAAGAGAGAGAGCGAGAGAGAGAGAGAGAGCGAGAGAGAGAGAGAGAGAGAGAGAGAGCGCAGTCTAAACTCCCTAGAGAATTACATTAATTCATTTCGCCTTTCTCGTAGTGCGACTGTAGCGAAACGTCGTTTCTGGAGTCGCTTAATCGGGTTTCGCATTAAGAGTAAAAAAATCGCCACGGAAAGAGTTAACGAGGAGCGCTACGGGTGGGGCGGCTGCGAACCCCGGGGAGAATATTATATTAGGAAATTTCATAAATTCCCTTTAGCGATCTCTTAGACGATTCGCGCTTCAAGGTCCGTGTTTTTCGCCTGAAATCGTAATGAGCCGCGCCGGGCTCTGAATCTACATAGCACTAGCTATCCGCTTCGTGTTTTGCGCGACGACGACGTCGGCGTCGGCGCCGGTTTCTTTCCTCCTCCTCCGGCCCGGACACGCATCTCGCGTATCTCGCCGCTATTGTATCCGCGCCGCGATCGATCGCGCCGAGTAATTCGCGTTATTGCGAGCTGCTTGAGAAATCAACACCGTTTGTATTCCTTCGCGATTTGCGGAGGCGCGACAACGACGCGACGCGGTGATACCAGGGAGGGGGGGAGCTATTAAAAGTATCGTTTTTAATAAATAAGCGGCCCGAACCGTCGATACTTGACTCGACTCGAAGATTCATGTTTTCGCGCTTGCATCGTCGCCATGGGGATTCGTCTCGCTCGGAATTCAGTGTCATCGACAGCGACGGCATCCGCGAATCACGAGAGAGAGAGAGAGAGAGAGAGAGAGAGAGAGAGAGAGAGAGAGAGAGAGAGAGAGAGAGAGAGAGAGAGCGTATTTCCAGGAGATATCGCGAGAAAGTACGTAAGATTCTTCCCGGAAGTTTCACCGGTAATTATCTAAAGTTACCGGGAGGGGGGGGGGTTACGAGTCAAAGTGTGAAGTCGTGTTCGAAGTCTTTCTGCACTTCAACACGCTCCTTCGCGCCGGTTAATAACAAATGAGCCGGGACTGCGAGCCCCTCGCTTTTGTTATAATCGGAGACACTTGCCCTCGCACAGTTACCGTCTACCGTTCTGTATTATTCAGTGAATTCATTTGTAGCATTCTAAACATCCAACTTATATTTCTCTCTCTCTCTCTCTCTTTCTCTCTCTCTCTCTCTCTCTCTCTTCCCTCGCGCCTTCGTAGCCGGCCGTTCGGCGCCAACTCGGCGCAGCCGGAACGATTCTACGGCAGCCAAGAATTTTCTACGACGAATCTCTCGTCGGGCCTGTCGTTATCGCGCGAGCGCGACTGGCGTATCCGAGGTAATCCGTCATCAACTCTGGGATCTCAGAGACGGGGAGGAGAGTCGAAATGACGATTAATATCCACGGATATCCGGACGTCGTCGTAGCGTTCGATTTGAAAGCGTCGGCATGATCCTCCGGCGCGCAGCGGCAGCGGCAACGGCAACGGCAGCGGCAGCGGCAGTTGATTTACAATCGGCCATGGAATTCGCTTGATAATCAAACGAGAGTTTCGGATTGGATTTGTTACGGCGCGTTGCACTGTCTCTCTATATTCGGACGGTGCGCGCGCGCTGCGCTGCGCTCCATGCCGGCGCGCGTTACGCGCGCATGCAATGCGCGCCCTGCATCGGCCATGTGAAGGAAAATCAATTAGCCGGGCAAACTGATTCGACTGCGTCTGTTTACTCGTGCGAGTCCGCAATGTGTTTCGCGTCATAGCACAGACGCTTTTGCGCGCGCGCGCGCGCGCCGCACACGCACCGCGCGAGAGATACACGCAAGCGAGCGCGCTTTTGTGTTCGTAGCTGATGCACCCCGTGGCAGCTGGCGCATACATGCTGCGATGCACACATATACACACACACACACACACATACACTGGCACGTGCACACGTGTGTATTTCGATGTACGCGGTGTCCTAGCTGCAGCCGCCGCAGTTGCGCAAGTGCTGTGCTCACACACACACACACACACACACACAGACGCGCGCGCGCTCGGATATAGAGTGTATCTGCGGTGACTCGTGTGCACCTGCGTACATACGGCTGTACATAGAATTTAAGAGATGGAGTGCGTTATAGCTCGCGATGCTCAATACGCTATAGCGCGGAGATACGGTCGGTTAAAGGTATCGTTCTCGTTCGAAGAATTGGGTCGATCGCGACGCATCCCCCGGTATCAGTCATTGGGTCGGGCGGCGGGGTAATATCGTCTATGGTTGCGAGGAGATCGAAGAGCTAGCGAGAGAGAGAGAGAGAGAGAGAGAGAGAGAGAGAGGAGGGGAGGGAAAGGGGAAGAGGAGAGACGAAGGCAGTCGCGGATAATGACAGATCGAAATGGACGCGTCATCGAGACTCGCTCGGTGCGATCGGGGGAAAATCGTTAAGTCGCGCGCGCCTGCTTTCTCGTCCTTCCACGCAGCGTGGTAATATTCCGCACTTTGGTGTTCAATCAATGTTTGCGTGTCGCAATGAGGAAAAAATTCGATTGGGAAGAGAAAAAAGAAACAAAACGTGAGGGAGGGAGGGAGGGACGACAATAGGTGACGAATGACGACGGAAAATTCGTGTCGGATGCGCGTTAAGTGGCACGTATACATTAAATCCGCGATCGAAGCTCGGCGAACGACGTACATGTGTGTGTGTATGTATATGTATCGTGCGTGCGCGGCCGCGATCGAAAGTATCGCGCAATCACGGACGCACACGTGACACGTTGATGAAGCTACGTCGGCTCGCGAGAGTGATGTGTTCGCATTAGTCGCGCGCTGCGGCCCCGTAATGACATAATCATTGTCATCGAAAAAAAAAAAAAAAACGCGCGAGATCGAGCGGAATTGGCCGACGCTTTAATAAGGACGATATTGAATTACCTAGTTCTGCGCGAATCCTAAAATGACTCATTTAATTTGTGACGGCGTCGCGACGCCGGTATGCCCCGATTCTGTCAATCTTCTCCGGCTTCGCTTTAAATATAATATAAATGTATACGTATGTATCATGCATGTGCGCCCTCTCGCATGCACACGCGCGCATGCAGTCTGGCGGCGGTTTTACACACACACACACACACACACACACACACACACACACGCGCGCGCGCGCGCGCGCAGCCGCTGCCGTTGCTGCCATCCGCGCCGCCGTCGTCGTGTGCGTGTCCTGTGCGATCGGTAAAAATAAAATATGCAGATCGGATAAATATTAAGTGCCGCTGACAGGTGGATCGCGTACGTTCGATCTCCAGCGGGATGAAAATATTTTCCGATGCCGGTCATTAGTCGCGCGATCGAAACTCGTCACCGATCCGCGTGAGAAGAAACCGTGAGGAACGGCGAGTCGACCGAGTTTGTTCGATCGCGAGATCGGCTCGCCGGGATTTCCCCATCGAGACAAGCCTTCGTCGCTTCGTCCTGCTGCTCCTCTCATCCAGACAAAGTTCGTTCGGTACATTTTGCGCGAGCTCGATGCCAATCGGGACAAGGAGCGTCTACGCAGCAGCGTTCCCCCGCATGCTCTGATTGAGGAAAATCGTTAAACGGGTGTCTCGTTCGAGTCGTAGCGATGATGGGCAAATTCCCCCGAAAAATCGAAAGACCCGCTGATAACCCGCGAAGACACGAACAATGCTCGTCGTGTCGGGAAACTAGCGATTTCCCGCGATCGGAATCTCAGAACGGAATGGGCTTTCTCTCATATATCCATGTTATCGGCCACGTTATCATAATATGCAAATTGTCACACACGGCGATGATACATCGTCAGCTGGTACTTGATTCGTCGCGAAATAAAATAGCGAGAGTGTATTGGATTTGAGTTTCAGAAGAGAGTGAATTTTCTGAAGATTCGCATCGCTCACACGCGTATTGTACTTTGGCCGATCTTTGCGGCGACATCGGCGACATCGTCTTCGATGTTTTCGTATCTAAGCGCAGTTGCAGCATTAAACAACGATGTGCACGACGATATGATTTGCATAAAGTAATCGCAAAGTCATCGTATATGACATGACTTTTGGACGCAATAAACTTCGAAATGGATAAAATTTCCAGCGAATGGCTATAGAACGAATCGTAGAATTGATGCAACATACAGTTCCAAACTGCACAACGCTTAAATGAGTTCTGGTAAAACCAACGTTTGAGACTTTCTCGCCTTTTAGTTTAGTTTGTATCATTTTCATCGCGTGTGTTGCCATTTCTACGCCGAGAGAAACACGTTCGACGATATTGCAATGAAATTGGTCCTGAAATGTATTATAAAAAGAGATTCTTGAGAATTTCGATGAGAAATGGCATTTTTTTATTTTGCAGAGTCGTATATTGGAAGATGCATCCATTGCAATGTGCAATTCTTGGTCACCGAGGCATAATGTGAGTACAGTATTACGTTATTTTTTCAATCCCACTATGAACACGTAATTTGGAAATGATTCGACGACGACTTTGCGCTACGTGCGAGCGCGCGTGTGTGTGTGTGTGTGTGTGTGTATGTGTAGATCTGTCCCGGAGCTTTCGTGGAAGATGATTAATGAGGCGCCTAGACCGATTAATTTCAGTTTTACGAAACCGCGCCGCCGCGGCTTCGCGTTAATAGGGCAACCGGATTATTTCAGACCCAGACGACACGCTCAATGTGGTTATACGTCACGTGCCGGAATGTCTGTCAAATTAGACGCAGCGTTACACGACAGTTCTGTATCAGACTATACATCTTTGCGATACCGCGCGACACTTTGAATAAATACTATAAGTGGAAAGCTCTACGAGATATTTTTTCAAAAATCCTCCCCTGTTTTAGAATGTTTTATGTATTTCGCGAGGATGTATATATATATATATATATATATATATTCCGACGTGATTCATGAATCCGTAAATAAAAAGCTGGTCGGTACATTTGAGATATTCTGTGCGCAAAAAAGAGACTTCCTTCGAGCATAAATGTATTCTGCAAAAATACGTTTCTCGCTGGCTCGTGTAACTGTTCGTCGACACATTGAGCGTCTCCTCTCGAGGCTTTAGGCTTGTTTTCAAACACGTGTCACACTCACTTATTATCAATTATCTCTTGTCTTGACGATTCCCGTGATTCTTGACGATTCTTTCGATGACTCGCTCGAAACAAGGAAGGAATAAGTCGGGGAAAGGGAAGGGGGCGAAAGGGAAGAAAGAAGTAATGAGAGAAGAGGGGGGGAGAGAGAGAGAGAGAGAGAGAGAGAGAGAGAGAGAGAGAGAGATTATGAGACTGTTGCCGTATACGAAATGCCCCATAATATTTATACTTTACGGAGCCACGTAGTTACGGTGGCCTGGCTCACATAAACTCACTAACTCGTGGTTACGATTATGGCCAGTAGTAAATTGATTATTTAGATATACGATGAGGTGATGCAGGATAGTCGAGCGCCGTAAAAAGAGTTATGTGTCACTTATGCTCGCCACGGACGCAACAGATACCCGCAGGTGCAACAAAGTCAGCGTGACCCGTGCTTTTTGCCGGTTACCTCGCTCGCCGCATTATATTCTCCTCTCTCGAGGAACGTGTGCGAATTATTTCGACATCAACGCGCTTTCGCACAGCCTCCTCATTTCGCACTGGCGAACGACTCGGCCGTGCGACACTGACAGTTTTTCCACTTGCGCCCGCACGATACGCGCACGAAACGACCCGTGCGAGTCGAATTTGCGCGAAAAGGACGAGAAGGAGGAGAAAGGAAGAAGAGCAACAACGCGAAAGGCGAGGAAAACGTCGTGACGTCCAAAGAACGTCGACGATAACGGGTGCGCGTAGAAGAGCGCATAATAGCAGCAACAACAACGACGACGACGACGACGACAACTGCAATAATAATAATAATAGATAATACCGAAACACAATGCGACATGGCGACGCTAATATAACGGAACCGCAAGCACGACCGAATAGCGGAAACGGAAATCGATAATTCAGATTTAACAACAATAATGCGCGAGGGATAATACGTGGCAACGGCGGAGGCGGCGGAGGCGGCGGCGGCGGCGGCGGCGATGCGCGATGCGGCGACAGGCCGCATAAAAAGACGCTAATATAATAGTATTAGCGACAATAGCAACGTTTAATATTAACGCCGTTAAGGGAGCGGAGCGTAACAGCGCTATTATAAATCGATGATACCTGGCTCCGGCGACGGCGGCGGCGGTGGCGGCGGCGGCGGCGGCGGCGGCGGCGGCGGCGGCGGCGGTGCGCGATGCGGCGGCGGCGGGGTCGAGTCGCGTCTGCGCCAGCGAGTGAAACTGAATTTGATGGCCCTACAACGAGAACCGCGAATAATGTTCTTTACTCTAGACAGTAGGTACTCCGCCATGCAAGTGATAATTTGAACAGTCTCCTCGTTTTCGTGTCAGACGTCAGATTTTCTGGAAGAATTTACTTATTCATACGTCAGACTACTCCGTGATGTAGGTTATCGGACGGAAATAACGTAATTGTCCCAATTTGCGATATCCGATAGCCGACGCGGTCCAGGCGCCGCCAGTCCGCATTCAGACCGGAGTATAAGCCACGACCTGATTGCTAATTAATTTCATACACGTAGCCGGTATACGTATTAGATCCGCGCATAGGCCGCGCAGTGGCGGGATTAATTATTTCTTGCCTCTTGTCCTTTGCCCTTTTTTTCGCTCCTCCTTCTCCTCCTCCTCTTCCTCCTCCTCCTCCTCCTCGGAGGAGGAGGAGGAGGACCCCCTCGTCATTCGCTATCGACGCGAGCGAGCGCGCTCTTAGTATTGATGCTATGCTATTCGTGTCTTATCGACGCGCGACGCGGACGCTACTTGGCGGCGTTATCGATCCGATATCTCGCGGATAGCAGCGGGCCAACCGCCGCGGACTCAGACGACGCCGCGACTGGGCTTTGATCGTTAATTGATTTTGTGCACACGCTCACCGACCGGCTTCTGTGTATTATCCGTGTATTGATGCCCCCCCCTCCCCACTCCCTACCCTCCCCTGCCCTCCTCTCCGCCCGCCCGCCCGGACATCTAATTTTGCATTCGTCTGCGCCGCGGACGAAATCGATCAGAGGAATTGCTTTTCCGCGAGAGTGATTTTCCGCCGGCGAGATTATGTCTGGATAAACGAATAATTTCGTAACATCTGATGCGACTGAATGATTCAGGCCGCGCGTGGCATGCGCGCGACAGAATCGGCTTGTTGCATGTTGCCGTTTCGGCGATTGAAATTCGGCCAGACAGCTGCTGCTGCTGCCTTCGCCTCTCCCGCCCCGCGCGCGCGCGCGCGCGCTTTCACACAATCTCGCGCCGCGTCGGCCTTTTTTAAATCTTAAAAGCTGCTGATGCGCGCGCGTGCGACATCCCCCCGCCGTGCATGATTCAGGTCACCTTGTTATCGAGCCTGGTTAATCATTCAATTCAAGTGATGTTGCGCGCCCCGGGCCGCTCGCGGATAAATTACACGGAAGGACCGGCAGTGCGGGCGCGGGGCCCGGTAATTCAATTGTAATTGGCTAATCCTTATGATACACCACTACAGAGCGCCCGGCGCGGCGGCTCCGCAAGGAAGACGTATTTAGTCCACTGGGGTTGGCCGCCTCGAAAAATGACTCTATTAACCGCGACGACGTGGAGAATCGCGCGAAGGGGAAGAAACTTTGCTAAACAACGGCACGAGGTGTTAACTATGTGGCTAACAAGAGCAATCCGTATCTCCCCCGCTAACTCCATTAAGCCTCCTTCATAGTATATCACGTATTAAATTAAACATACACAGTTGGCGTGCGCGCGCGCGGGTGTACGCGATGGCGAAGAAAATTACTAATTAATCGGGATATGATAAATTCCTATCCGATATCTCTCCTCCCTCCCTCCCTCCAATTTCTTCGAGTCAATTCGATTAGCGCAAGTAGATAATTGTGGCAGTCGACATTATGAATATAATTATCATTTTCGGTTCGCTGATTTACACGAGCCCCGGTTGAGCAAACAATATACTTCAAGCAGCCTCCTGTTCATTCGGACGGAACACCACCAGCCGGGAAACGGCGCGGTGGCCGGCTCTCCTCGTTGATGGAGATAAAGAAAGCGATAATGCGAGAGATATATTTTATCGATTCTCTCTTTCTCTCTTTCTCTCTTTCTCTTCCTCGTGCAAACGCGCACACGACTACGAGCAACTTTGACTGTCTGCGCGACCGCCTCGTACGCATGAAGATCGAGTGACTAGCGGGCCAGTATTACGCTAAAAGAGGGTCCATCGTACATTGCCCCTTAGCCGTGAACTGTGATTTATCGGTCTGCTAATGCTTCGATTAAGCAACACGTCTGCGTGAAAAACGTCGTCGTTGGCTGGCAAGTTACCGCGAGGGCAGCAGCTACCACTTCGCATCAATATTTCCACGTGGGAGTGTGAGAGTTATCTCACTCGCACTTCACGTACACACGTACGCAGGCAAACGCGCTGTGTGCACAGACATATGGTTACGACGCGCGATCAATTAAGTCGATTTATTTGATTAGACCCAGTCTCACAAGTCCTCACCTTCTACCTTTCACGGATCGCGTTCGATTTTTCGCCGCAATTTTCGCGATTATGTCCAAATCACACGTGAGAAGCGTGCAAACGGCGTGACACGGGGGAATTATGTCGTTTTGAAATCTGCAGCGAAAAGAGAACATCTGCTGCTTTTGGGGCACACTTTATATTATTCATGAGAATATCAAGACAGATGACCATCGAAGTCACTTATAGTCCGTCTCGTTTCTTACGTATATGCTATACCGACGGCGTTGACTGTAGAGGTTATTCATTTCTTTTGTAGCACGCACAGCTATGTAAGTACATGTCACTGTATCTCTCTCTCTCTCTCTCTCTCTCTCTCTCACCCTCTCTCCAAGTATCGGAAAAGAGGAGAATTGTCGGCGAAGACGATTTAATCGACTAAACTCATGAATATTTAATGACGAGACACATCGCGCATGTTTCGCGCCGGACAACGTATGCATTTGCGACCGAGCTCGATTTACAAACAAAATAAGAGAGAAAAATATCGCAAATCGCTAAATCAGGCGAGACGCAGCAGCGCGCTCGCGAAAGTAGTCGCGAGAAAGTGTCGCTTCGCGCCGATCCGAGCCAGTGTATAATTGCTCTCTCCATTTTCTTGCCGACTCGTCCGACGACAAATTCGCCGACTGACGCGCAACGTCACACAGCAGCGAAATTTTCTTTGACGCGCTGCAGATTCGATAACGTGATTTAACGCCCGGGATACCGTGTGACATTCCGATAGCACGTCGTTCGTCAGCACCGAAACGGCGGACCGACTACCACCCGAGCCGCGCCGCGCCGTGCCGTGAAAAGCGGCGAAACGCGCGACCGCGCGGAAGGGAAATTTCGGTATCAGAAAGAAATAACGGCGGTTCAGCAACCTACGGACAGCCGTAGGCTACGTCGTGGCCGGCGACGAAGACACGAGGAGTTCATAAATAATCGAAGCGCTGGAACACGCCGGTGGTTTCCGCATGAAACATTGATCGGGCGATGCGGACATTACAGGTCATAATGAAATAAGTGGCCAGTGAATCACTCTTAGCTTTACTCGCAGCGGCCAAACTAACGATATTTTCATATCGTTCTAATTATCACCGTGGCGACGCGCGGCTCATGCTGCTGCCGTCGCCCCGACAGTCGAGTTGCTCGGCAAACGGGAAATAAATAAAAACAAGAGAGAGAGAGAGAGAGAGAGAGAAGCAAGGTACAAAAAAAAAGAAAGAGAGGAACAGAGAAAGAAACAGAAAGCAAGGGCAGGAGAGAAAGAACTGATAATCGAGCACAACGCGACATACGAGAACGAGAGTCCCAGCCTGCGCGCGCGAGGGTAGGTGCGGACACGTAAAAAGGAAATTTTGGTCAACCCTCCCTCTGTGTGTCGCACATAACGCGCCATGAAATGAAATCACACCCGCCCCTCTCGTTACTACTCGTTCCGCGCTGCTCTCATAAATTTCGCCGTAGCGCCGTAGTTTAAGCTATTTTCGTTACCATTAAATGTTGACTTTGCCGAGGGGACTGTATCTCGCCAAACACACGGAAGGGAATCGGGACGATCCCCCCCGGCCGCCCCGGGTCCGGCTTCGCAGCCGCCGCCGCCGTCGCCGCCGCCGCCGCCGCCGCCGCCGCCGCGGACGATACTGACGAATGTATTCTGTCCAACGTCCCCCGGGGGCACCCGGTCAAGTATCCATCCTTCGGATCGATTCCAGTTAACGTGTAACGGATGAATTTGATTACCGTACATCATGGGGCGCGCGGGCGTGTGTGTGCGTGCGTGCGTGTGTGTGTGTGTGTGTGCGTGTGTGTGTGTGTGTGTGCGTGTGTGTGTACGGGCTGATATAATGACGTTACCGGCAGCGCGGTGGGATCGTAACTTAATGTCGCGCGTTCGCGAGAATATCGCCATTTTTCCCATTACACGCCGCTCTGTTGCCGTTGTTGGCGCGCCGCGCCGCGGAATTATCATATGCAGGCGCGTGATGTGAGAGAAGGATCGCGGGCGATTCAGCGACAGCATAGCTCGCGCGCGAGCGCGCGGAAATAGACGACAAATGGGTGTGAAAAAAGAAAAGCGCGCGTACGCACGTGTGTATGTGCGTGCGTGCGTGCGTGCGTGCGTGCGTGTGTGAATACTTTACGAGACAGTCTGGGGCACGTCACGAGAGAGCGTCGACGATGACGCGCTTTATATCAGGACACGCGTTGGAAGGCGAGGGATGTAAAGTGTGTCTAGTGAAATATCGGCCGTTTAGTTAGCGTCGCTTGTCGAGACGCTCGGTTAAACGCGCGCGCGTCTAATTAGATTTACGCAATCAGACAATGGGAATCCCCGTGTGGGAGCGCGCGCGCGCGCGCGGGACGCGCGACTCGAGCGACAGAATTTTTGCCGAAGCCTGAACAAGCGGCAAAACAGCAATCCGAGTCACGGATAACAAAACTATTTTCGGAATATCGATCGCGCCACAGCCATGTTGCCGTTCAGCACACAGACTGGCTGTTGCCCAGACAATCCGCCGAACGGATTGAATTTAAATTCAATAAGAGAACTCGAGCGTAGTAAATAACGAGTTATAGCCAAACATACTCGCGCTTGTATCATCGTACGAAGAAACGCAATTTACGTACCCGACGAGAGTGACGTCGTGTATATGTGCGCGCGCGCGCGTGTGTGTGTGTGTAATTTGTCCTTTATCTCGCATAAATTTCGCTCCTCGATTTCTCGCGAACATAAACTCCCGAGCTTTATCGAGAGCACCAGAGCGAAGCAAACAATGCAAGGAACAACGACGATACACACACACACACACACACACACATACAAACATCGAAACTTTGCATGCCACGTAGCGAGACGTAGTGTAATTTCCCGATGAATGACGGACACGATGCATTTCGTGTTTCAGGGTGATCTGTTTGGCGGTTTGAACAGTGGTTTGCAAGATGGCTTATTGCAAAGAGCGGAGGCTTTGGCAGCGGACCTGAAGCATAATTCCGGGACGCCGATGCCACTCAAGCACGACCCCGTGTCTGTGTACCATCACGGCCCGCACATGCCTACCCCCCACCCAAATAACCGGCCACATCATCAGGTACAATCACATCTCCTTGTGAGTCCGCATTTATGATATATATATATATATATTATTCCTCTATTCTATGCGACGTATTATGTGTGCTATTCGTAACGCGTTGTTGTATCATACGGGAGCGTATACGTACGTAGGGAGGTGGTGCTCGCGCAGGCCGATGGGAGAGCCCTTTGACGATTGAGGTCTCTCCGCGAGGCCACAATCGAAGGAGGCGCGGCCTATTTCCGCGATTTTTCTCTCGCGCAGTCTCTCGCGCGCCCTCGTGGTGGTCATTAAAATATTATTCATACGGATGATTGCTCGCGTTCGGAGACGCGCGCCGGCTTCTGCGGACGCTTTTCCCCGACGAATCCCCGGCGCCGCGTCCAGAGGAGGAAATGAATTTTCGCTCAGTTCTCGACAGCGTATAACACATTCCCTGTTATCTCCTCCGTTATATCTCCGTGTTACGCGGGCGCGCGTCCGCGTGGCCCGCGTAATTCGCGGGAATATTAAAGCGCCGTTGGCCGAGAGCTTACTCTATTCTCCGCTCGAAAACAATCTCGATTGAAGAATAATAATTTTACCGAAGAGCCCGGGGAGCTCTCGCCGCCGATACGGGCCGATACAGCGAACATTCATCATCGGGATAATTGGCTCTTGCTCGCGCGCGTGTCTGTCGAACAAATTGCGCGCGGTGCTAAAAGGAAACTGCTAAATACCGCAATAACGTTACACATCAATTACATTTTAGATTGGCCAGAATGGAATGGAAAAGTGCACCGTTAATGTGCAGCGGTGCAGCAAAATTCTTTCCTTTATGTTCCTTCCCTTTTCTTCTCCTTCTTCTTCTCTTCTTTCTTTCTTTCTTTTCGGATACGATAACTGCAGTCTGACATTTAATGCCTATCAACGGAGCCTAATAAATCGTCAATGATAGAGATTGCTCGCACGTAGAACAATTATTATAACAAAGCGCGGCAGAGGACGGAGAGAGAGCGAGAGAGAGAGAGCGAGAGAGAGCGAGAGAGAGAGCGAGAGAGAGAGAGAGAGAGAGGAAGGGGGAGAGGGAGAGGGAGAAAGCGGCAGTTCGCTGGCGCAGTTTCGTAAACCCCGGGCGCAACGGTGATGGTGCATCCATAAAACGCAACGAATCCAACAGTCAGTTAAAATCGTTAGCAATAATTAATTACACGGGGCAATTAATTGGGATTCATATTTAATCGGCGGATTGAAAAATTTAATTTACGCAGTTTATTTGTTAATATCGCGAACAATGCGGGCAACGATTTTAATTTCCTCCGCGTTTCAATCGTTAATAAGCCGCATTATATTTATAACCGCCGTCGCGCTCGCCGAGAGCGATAACGGTCCGGCAATTTCGCGTGATTACACGCCGCTTAGGAAGCGCGGGGCGGGCGCGAGCGTGCTCGTACGATTCCGCGCGAATTGCATTTCAATTTGTTGCCGGTCGCGCCTTATGCTAATCTGAGCAATCTGATGCCGATGAATGGAGTACGACGAGGGCGAGAGAGAACGGCCGCCGCCGTCGCCGTCACCGCCGTCGGCCGGGGGTGGTAACCAATGCGCATCGACCCGGAATGATCTTCTCAAATGTAGGGGCGTCGCTCGTATATTATCTCCGTGTCGCGACTGCTTGTAACGCTCCCGATGGAGCGCAATGAATTCTAAGGGTGCCGGCGCCCGCCCGCGTCTCTCTCTCTCTCTCTCCTTCTCTCTGCGGCGAGGGTGCGTCGCGGGTTTTGTTTAACTTCTCGTGCGCCGGTTAGCCGCGGATTTGCGTGCATGATTTTACCGTCATAAATCGTTCCCCGTGATTCCCCGCGCGCGCTCGGGAGGACATGTGCAAACGTTAACGCGAGAGATACGAGAAGCCACGGGCGCTCACGAATTCGCACGTCAGCAATGACGCGATGACGCGAGTCCTCCTCCTTTGACATTTCCTCCATCTCGTTCGTATCGGAGAGGAATATGTAAAAAGAGAAGGGAAGAAAAGGAAACTGTGCGAATGTCGGGCGGGTGTACCCGGGAGACTCGGAGAACTTTGGAAAAAAGACTGCGCGTATAATTTAACCCGGCCCGCCCGCCCGTTTCTTCACCCACGCACGCACAGATGGTCATACACTAAGTGTCCCATAAAGTCTGTTTTTATATACGATACGCGGTAGCGCGGCTGACGAATTCGATAAAATCGCCGGCTGGGCTGTGTATACGTGTAACGGCTTTAATAAATACCTCGAAGGTGCAGACCTTCGCGAAGGGGGGACGCGAACGTGCGTGCGAAGCCACGTGAAATGGAGAACCCGCGAGGAGGGAGCTAGGGGGAGCAGAAGAGAGATGCGGAACGACGAAAATAGTACAGTTTTTCGACGCCCGCATCTATATCAAGAGAGAAAGATAAGGGGAGGAGAGGGGGAGGAGGCGAGAGAGGACGAAACACGGCAAGATAGAAACGGCATCAACGCGGGCGCGCGCGTGCACGCGAGTCCGGGCCGGGCGAGCAGCGCGCTGAGCTAGGAGGAAAGAAAGAAAAATTAGAGGGTGAGGTGGGCAATAGAGCAAGGAGAAAGAGCAAAACACAGAAGCGCCGGCTAACCCTACCATCGTGTCAGCGTAATGATGAAATATTGCGCGGGTCTCTGGGGCCCTACCTCGTACGCCCCTGGGCGAGTCCCCCGTTCGCTGTATATTTGCTGGCGGTGCTCCCGACAGCCTCCACCTTCTGCCTTTTCCACGCTGCCCGTCGTGCCGCTGGCGCACCCCGCGTACCACCCCCTGCATTTCTGATGTAACTGTGCTATCCCAGAGCACCACCACCGCCGACCGAAACCGTGCCATCCAGTTAGCTCACTATACTGCTATTCTCATGAGAATAGATGATGCGCGTGTTGCCTAGGCGTATACGTGTATAAGCCGCTGCCGCTCGCGAGGTCGTACGAGCGTTTACATATGTACGTGAGATAATGGCCGGGTTGTGTGTGTGCGTGTGTGTGCGTGTGTAGCGGGCGGAGGGCGCTTGGGAGGGAGCAGGTTGGGACGGGCAGGGGGGGATGAGGGGCCACGCGGAGTAGATAGATATATTTTCAGCCAAGATTTTTATAGCGATTTCAGACCTCGCTATCACGCGGATTCTGTTATACGTCTATTCTACATTTCGATCGATACAAGGGGTGTGAGCAGGAATGAGCGGGGAGGGGAGGGGGGAGGCGGGGGACATTGGAAATGACGCGGGGAAAACTGATTCTTGGCTGAGAAATGGCCGGTGAAGATATTTGGCAAAAATGTTCTCTTTCGATTTGATTTGGTTTGACGCGCGTAACTCGGAGGGAAGAGGCGCCGAGCTGCAGCTCTCGGTTATCCGTCGCGTATCTCGTATGCGTGTAAAGAACAATTTGTTTCTTAAACGCGCTGGCGAACTAATTCCAATTACATGTCCCGTCCCAGAGCAACCACGGTCGAAAACCATGCTATCTAGTTAACTCGGTATACTCTCGAGAGACCGAATGATTCTATGTGTGCAAACAAGGTCGTACAGTGCGTGCGTAAACGCACGCGCGCGCGCGTATGTGTGTGTGTGTGTGTGATGCTGGTTGATACTATGTACGTGGTTGAGTATCGGAGGACACGCAATTAATAAATTATGTAGCGGGGATTAGGATTTCGCGGCTGGAGCTCAATGATACACTGATAGAAAAATATAGTTGAATTAATTATAATCTCACTATATTTTATAGTTGATTTTGGCGTCAACCATATTTTTATAGTTTGTGGAATCTGCAAAATATAGTAGAATAAACATAAATATAAATAGTCAATGATTGTCTGAAATAATTGTTTAGTTACTTTTACATTTTACACATATATGGTAATTTCTCATTCACAAATATAGCGAGATTTAATATTCATATAGTTACATCTGTCATCATTTAGCAAATATTCTGGTAATACTAATGACTATATAAAAGAGTTATTTTACCTACCATTTTATGGATTTTATGGATTTGTATCCATACAATAATTTTAGTTTAACTTACTATAATTCTTAGTAAAAATATTACATGGTTGGTTATACCATGCCTCGTAATATCGTATAATTATTACCGATATCATGGTAACACTTACTATAAATATGATATTTCGGACTATAATTTAGTCACTATATCATTATACTTATTACTTAGTACTTGTATACATAGTACTTATCGTAAATTGCACACGAGCCGACCTTTTTTCTCAAGTGTCTCTCGTACCGCGATCGTTAATCGCGATCGCTAATCGCGATTTTATACATTTCCCTATTAATAGAAGAAATTATCGTTTGTGTTTACTTGTATCTACCTGTGATTTGCGCTTTTTGTCTCGCGACTCTCTCTCTCTCTCTCTCTCTCTTTCTCTCTTTTTCTTCCTTTGCCTCCGCTGTCCTCTGTCTCTTTTTGGTTTCGTATCAGCAGACGCGACGGCCGATATCGGTCTTAGGAAAGCGAGTTAGCAGCATACCACCATCTATGTAACGGCACTTTAAGCGTGGAAAAATATGAAAGAAGTTCATAAATAATTTGCGCAGAGTTGTGCTCTGCAAGTGCGTTCTGCATTCGTGACGACGGCCGCGGCACGTGCTGCATAATTATGCGTGTTAGCTTGTACATATTTCCTGCTTTTTCCGCCGCACTCGACCCGACTTTACTTTTTATCCCCTTCATTCATGCCTTCCCCACGCCGCGCTGGTGCTTCGTCAAAATGCATTTCCGCAAACTCGGCAATACGACGATGCGCGTCTCTCCAGCCTTCGTGTATATATATATATATTGATATATATATATATATATATATATATATATATTCGCGTTTTTCATCTTATTCCGTGCATTTACTTACTTCATTATTGCAGCTCCGCGTACGAATGGAATTTCTTTGGATTACCCCCCTCCCCCTCGTTTCTCACTGATCACGATCGTCATCGAGAGAGATTTCTCGCGCGGAAGATCCGAGCGACGCAATCGCACGAATTGAGAGTTCCCCCGTCGCGTGTTGCAGATGGGCCACCCGGGGATGGAGAGCCTCGACATGCTGGACCCAGCCAACTCGATGACGACCCTGACGCCGATGTCCGAGAGCACAGGCGGCGGGCCCGGGCACCACACGGGCATCCACGGGCCCTCGGTCTACGGCGGGATGAACGGCATGATGAGCCACCACCATCACCACGGCAATCTCGGCAGCGGTGGTGGCAGCGTGCCTCATCCGGCGCATCATCACCCGGCGATGGCGGCCGCGGCCGCGGCCGCAGCCGCGGCGGGCCTCCACCCGGACGCGGACACCGATCCGCGGGAATTGGAAGCCTTCGCCGAGCGGTTCAAGCAGCGACGCATCAAGCTCGGCGTCACCCAGGCCGACGTCGGCAAGGCGCTCGCCAACCTCAAGCTACCCGGCGTAGGCGCGCTCTCGCAGTCGACCATATGCCGCTTCGAGTCGCTCACCCTCTCGCACAACAACATGATCGCGCTCAAGCCGATCCTGCAAGCGTGGCTGGAGGAGGCGGAGGCCCAGGCGAAGAACAAACGACGCGACCCCGACGCGCCGTCGGTGTTGCCGGCCGGCGAGAAGAAGCGGAAACGGACGAGCATCGCCGCGCCCGAGAAGCGCTCGTTAGAGGCGTACTTCGCGGTGCAGCCGCGGCCCTCGGGCGAGAAGATCGCCGCGATCGCCGAGAAGCTGGATCTCAAGAAGAACGTCGTGAGGGTCTGGTTCTGCAACCAGCGGCAGAAGCAGAAGCGCATGAAGTTCGCGGCTCAACATTGACCCGAGGGTGGCTTGTGACAGCAGAACTGACCGTACCAGCTGCCCAGTCTCGAGCCTAAACCCGAACCCTTGGCCGAATTCCAGGGATGGCCGTGAAGAGTCCGCGCGCGCTAAGGAGGTTGCTGGGGGCTTCCTTCGACGTCGCCGTCGTGGCTGATTTCACGCGGTGAAGAGGAATTCGCATTCCGTTCGTCATCGCTTGATTATCCCACTTCGTGCGGGGTTCTCTATCGTGGCCGTTGATGCGACACTCGGCTCGACACTCGAGGGCAGACTAATCGGTACACAACAGTCGGACTGTCACAGGCTGAGAGAGTGATCATCAATCGCCTGTTATCGCTGCGCGTGTTTCATTATGCGCGAAGCGCATACTCTCCGGAATCACACCGGTTGCAGGGAGCTATTCTTGACTCGTCGGCCGAGCGATTCTCTCTCTCTCTCTCTCTCTCTCTCTCTCTCTCTCTCTCTCTCTCTCTCTCTCTCTCTCTCTCTCTCTCTCTATCTCTCTCTATCTATCTCTCTCTCTCTCTCTCTCGCTCTCTCTCTCGCTCTCTCTCTCTCTCTCTCGCTCTCTCGCTCTCTCTCGCTCTCTCGCTCTTTTTTCTCTGTGCGCCATTACCTCTCGTTGCGATGTTGAGGGAGTGCAGCAATACAAGGCAACGCTGATGCAACGCGTCAGCGTTTACGTCAGCGAGCTGGCCGAGCTGGCGCGTTATTGTCGCGACGCGTCCACGCGATTCCGCTGTCATCCGCGATGGGGATGGAAGTTGCCGAGACGACTGTGACTTTTTTCACCTCTTCACACAGGCTGCCACGCGGAAGGAAAGCAGCACGGATGTCCGACCGATTTTGCCGCGCGCGACACGCGGCGCATCTCTCTCGTGTGACTTTGAGCTTTCACGATCGTCCGACGAACGATTTCGAGCTGCGGCCGTATAGACATATAGACGGGTGAACGAACGAACGAACGAACGAACGAACGAACGAACGAACGAACGAACGAACGAACGGACGGACGCGCGAAAACAACTTTGGTCCGTAATAAAAAAACAAGGTGCAAATCACCGGGAAAAAACACTGGTCGCTGCAATAATGCATGACGCTTTCAGCGGTATGATTTTTGGATAATGGAGAGATGCGTTGGGAGAACGTGTCAGCGCTTTCTTCGTACTTTTTCATTTGCATTAGCAGGAAACATTGTAGCGATGGATTCGCGTTGCATAACAGCATTATGAGAGCTATCCGATTCACGGCGCGTTTCCCGCCATTATTCGGCATGCGATATTGCTGCGATTTCGAGGGGAAGGGAGGAAAGCGGAAAAGAAAGCGAGCAGCAAGAAGGGAAGGGAAAACGCACAAAACTGCTGCCGCCGCGTAGACTACGCGCTAAAGTTTTCACGACGCGCACGCGCGCGCGCGCGCGCGTCTTCTCTCTCCTTTGCTCTAATTGAACGGCAAGACTCGGACTCGAACTTGAATTCAAGTGCACGCGCCACAATGCTTGCCGCGGCCGTGCGATATTTTGCCGCGAGCCTTCGGGAGATGGGCTTTTTCGGGGAGCCAGCAGTCCGTAAAAACTACGAGATCGAGAAACCGCCGCCACCGCCAACGATCGCGATAAAACAGTTTACGATGCCATTCGCTCTTCGACCCCACGCCGTATAACATCCACGGTCGAGATCGCCGTTTGGCGCCGATTTCACGATCATATTTCTCGCGCGCCCGAATATGCGAAATCCGCTCTGCTCGCCCGTCGTGCAAATGTATAAATCCACAATACTGATGGCGCATATCGTATTCCTTTGTTGGCAAACGCTTGCAAATCCTACGGGAGTACGAAAATTCGACTCTTGCCCGCGAGAGCCCGTCGACGTTGATGCGTGTTTCGCTTTCTTCCTTTCCCCCGACAAGTGCAATCGCAGCGGCGATTTGCGCGATTATCATAATTGCAGGAGCCGGCCCGTCACACACGGCTGACGAACTTTCACCGACAAGTTGAAATATACAGGCCAGCCGTACCTCTCCCAACAATATTGTCGCATCGTTGGCAACTTTCCATCTTCGTCGATGACGTTCTAAGCGATCACGCATCGACAATAGCTCCGCTCGTCGCGAAGTAACGCATCGGAAACGCTCGTAAACCACCCCCGAGTCATCACCGCAATAATTTACTTGGCAATAATCATCGAAGGCACGATCGATCGTCAGGGGACTCCCCCGACGGAAGAAACGAGGGGTGAGAGAAAGGGAGGAAAGAGAGAAGGAAGGAGGGAGGGAGGGAGGGAGGGAGGGGGAGAGAAAAAGAGAGAGAGAGAGAGAGAGAGAGAGCGAGAGAGAGAGAGAGAGAGAGAGAGAGAGAGAGAGAGAGAGAGAGAGAGAGAAAGAGACTGTTCGGTCGTCACCATCACGGGTGTTCGCCGTGATGGATGAACGCCGAGGAGAGCGAGGATTGCCGACGCGTCTTGAAAAGTACAACTCGAAACATAAAATATAAAGTACGTATTGTTATAAAGACGACGCGCGGATACGTCGCGCCGAAGAAAAAGTGATATTAATCCTAATAAAGACGCTCAGTGCAGTGTAAACAGTGAAGAGAACGAGAGCGCGAGTGTGAACGAGCGAATGTGATGCGTGTGCGAGGAAGGACCAGGAGGGAGATGAGGTTTTTAGGAAAAATGAGAGTGAGAGAGAGAGAGAGAGAGAGAGAAATTAAACGAGAGAAAGAGGATGAAAGAGATTGAGAGAACGAGAGAGAGAGAGAGAGAGAGAGTGTGTGTGTTTGTGCGTGTGTGTGTCTGAATACGAAAATTTAAGCAGAGAGAGAGAGAGAGAGAGAGGGAGGGAGAGGGAGAGGAACAAACTAACAGAGCTAAGAAAAATGTTTTACGTAGTGATATTGGACAATCAGTGAAAAGACTGTACCATATCATATTGAAGCAATACCGTAGTACATAGTAAACGAATTAATTAAACTCTGTTCGTATTTTCTATGATCGTCCGCGCATCCGCCATGCGCCCGCGGACTATTTTCGTAAAATGGGTGAACGGGGGGAGGAAAAAGAAACAAGGGAGGCAAACGACGTGACGAGAATCGCGAGAGGTGCGCGTCTCTTCGCCTCGGTACATCCCGCTTTCATATACCCGATACGGCTAATATCTCCTTATCGATCCGACATCAGGGACGATTCGGTTGACGCTCGATTTCCGCTCGCGGCTGATCCGGCGGCGTTCCAGCGCTCCAGCGCGGGAACAGCGCGGTTTCATCGTGCGACGCGCACGCACGAGTAGGCGGAGTAGGGAGGAGGAGGTGGAGGAGGAGGAGGAGGAGGAGGAGGAGGAGGAGGAGGAGGAGGAGGAGGAGAAGGAGGAGGAGGAGGAGGAGGAGGAGGAGAGTCCTGAGTTTTCCGGTTCCGTTTCTCGGCAGAGCGCGTGGATTAAGGTCCGAGGTCTAACATCTAGCCATACACGTGTCTATCTCTTTCTGTTCGCCGACGAATCCGTCGTATTGCGCGCTGTCCTCTGACAACGACAACGAAATTCTCCGAGCGCGAGATCGACATCCTCCTGGCAGAAGTAAGGTAAGGCGCAACGGCGACTTGGACGAAGAAGTCGCAATTACCGCATACAACGCTCAGCGATATTCTCCAGAGTTGGCTACACATGATGGCGATTTGTTACAACGCGCGCGGTCCTGCAATTTTAAAAACAAATTCGCAATTTCTTGTCTATAATATAAATTCTCGAGCGGGCAAACTCTGAAGCGCAGATTGCGTGTATCACGGGAATAACAGGATAATTGATAATTAACGTTGCAATGCTTCGCTTGAGATACGCGACGCGCTTGACATTTCGGCAAGCAATTATCTTTGAGTGAAAAAGTGCATCCCAGGATCCGTGATCTGAATAAAACGAGTTCGCTCGATTCCGGTTAACATCGGAAAGCCATTCTCCAGGTTGGCAGGTGGAAGAGAAGGGTCAACCAGACGGAAAGTTGACATTGGAAATGTCATGTCATGTTCTCTAGCGTGGCAGGTCGAAGAGAACCGAACAAGCGAATGACTCCGAATGTTGGTTATTCCTTCCATTTCTCAATCTGATTCATTCCATTCGTTTGATCAACCTTGCGACTTGTTAATTGGTTGTTGCGTTTCGTTACAGCACAGCTCGACTCAACATACGTGTGTATATATATATATATATATATATATTTTGTATAAAAAAGTTTTCCTTTAGTTGACTTGAGAAAATCTTTAGTCTCGAGAAAGTCCGATCGAGCAATCGACGGTGTCGCGAGTATGATCATGTGTGCCCAACGACAGGAAAGTATCCTGTGAGGAGGATGAGACATCCAAGAAGATGAAAATACTAGCAGTAGTTAAAGTTAAAAGTGGAAAAAAAACGGTAGCGGTTTTTAAATTGTACATATGTAAGAGGATAAGAGTATTTTCTAGGAGAGTAATAGCCTATTTGCCATTCTATTAGGTAGTGGAAGAAGAAGAAGTTCTAGTGCAATATATAGAAGTCTAATGAGAGATGTTCATTATTCGTTGTTTTCTCTCTGTACTCGACACACACACACACACACACGCGCGCGCACACACACACACACACACACACACACACACACACACACACACACACACACACACACACACACACACACACAACACGCACGCACGCACGCACGCACGCACGCACGCATACACATACACACACACACACACACACACACACACACATGTACACATGGCGCGACCGCCGAGTGGGTATGCCGATATCAGCGCGTTTATCAGTCCTTATCTTCGATCATCCAGAAGAAAATCACGGCCCCGCTCTATGCATCGCGGCCATTTTCCTCGTAGAAAAAGACCAAAATGGAAGCGTTATTTTCCTAGACGGCCATTCGATCGCGTAGCGTGTTAATTTCATTAGTGACACGGATTGTCTTGAGCACGCGTTTTTAAGTCACTCTATACGTGTCCCTTGAATCCTCAAATGCGATGCAAGTTTGGACGAGTGGAACTGGTCAGATGGAAACTTGCTCGATTGTTTTTCTTCTCGTTCTTTTGTGTATTATTATTATTATTATTATTATTATTATTATTATTATTATTATTATTACGCTTATTTTCGAACGTGATCTATATACGTGTACATGAATTATCGCGATGCCATTACGAATAATAATGTTCTCGGTGATGTTGATGTTACGTAAAGCCGATGAGAAATTATACAAATATAATTTTTTCGTAGTTTTACTATAAACATACGTCTGCAACGCGCACGCGCGTGCTTCGGCAGAATAGACATCGAACGAAAGACACAAATGTATTCGGTATTAACGACATGGTTGCGTATTATTGCACACGTTAGTCGATTAAGTTGTCGCGAGATGTTTGACCGTCATCGCGGGGGGTTTTGGCAAACGGAATAAACCTAACCTCGAC